TTTTTCTGCATGGATGTGAACTGTGCCTAGCGTCAACAGACAGTTGTAGAATTGATGAGTTCTTTTTATGCTATGCTGTTTTAATGGCATTTAGCACTGGGCAAAGTATAGCTGGCCTTGGTAGGATCATCCACCGAAAAAAGCTTTTTTCAGTGGTAGAGAAATGCATAATGTTTCCTGTGGCGGGCCAGTAGGGGGTGCTCCTGCATTGAGCCACCCACCACACTGTGCCCTTCCAGGCTCCGAGTGCCTCCCTGGGGTGCCTCACATCTGGCCGACCCCCTTCCTGGAGCATACCCGCTAGCCTGGGGTAAAAACTGCCACCACCCAGGGCTGGGCTTTATTCTGGCTCTATGCACCCTGGGAAACACAGGCCTAGTAGCCCTCAAGGGTGCTCGACTCACTTCAAACACTTGGGGGTGCTTCTCTCAGTCGGAAGCACAAGTAGTGGTCTCCCTTAATCAGCCGAACCAAGGGGACCCCAAGGCATAATCTAGACCCACACCCAATAAGTCTCCCACGCTAGGTATAAGGGAGAACTTTATTGGTTACAAGGGGTAGGGTTGCAATAGGATACAGGGTAGAGCAATATCAGAGAAATCCCATAGAGCAAACTGGCATGGCTGGGTAGCCTTTGATCACACATCTGAGTTACTGCAAGCTATATATCTAGTTAGATCTCAGGTAGCTTACTTACAAGTATCATCTGGAGGCAGGTGGAGATTCAATTTGGAGGCAGGCAGTTCATTGATCATGGGTTTTGAGAGAGAGAGAGAGAGAGAGAGAGAGAGACCAAGTTTCAGATGGTTCAGCTCTTCTCTCTCTCTCTGAGTCTTCCTCATGGCTGCAGCCCCTTCCTCCTGGGCAGTCCTTAACTTATATAGCCCTTATGACCTCATTTACCTGGTCCAATGGAGGCCTATTGGCTGTCAGCCAACCAATTTGAAACATATCACTAGTTGCTGGGCAGCCTGGCAATTCCTAGCTCCCCAGGTAGCCCAAGCCCCTCACTGTGGTATGATGCCAGTCACATAGGCAGAGGGAGCAGGTTTCCCCTCTCCCTTAGGAATGTACCCAGCTCAGGTTACCTAAAGAGATAGGGTAAGGTGTGTACCCTCTGCAGGGCCCATCTTAATCAAATTGTCACAGAGCAGAGTTTTTGGGAAGAAACAGAGGTGGCCTTCTGCCACATTTCCCATGCCATCTTTTTTGTCTTTTGCCAATACATATACTGAATTTACTTCAGTCTAAGATGCGTTTTTTACCCTACATATAAAAGCCCCTTGTCTTAGATTTCAGCACAAGCAGAGACAAGGGCTGTGACTATGGCTCAGGTTCTGGGTCGGAGTTAGAGATGCAGCTGCTGACTTTCCTGCCATCTACACCCCACAACCTCTGCTCCATCTCACTGTTGCTCTCTACCAGTGTTTATCTTCCTCTTTCGGCTCTGGCTCCTGCTGAGGCCTCAGTCCCAGCCTTTTCTAATCATCCATGACCTTGCCCAACCTCCATGGGTTCTCAAAGAGGGTAGCTAATGGCTTTGAAATTACCTCAGTTAATTCTTCCACTATTACAGGGTGCATCTCATCTGGCCCTGCCGACTTAAAAGCATCTATTTTGTTTTAGTAATCCCTAACCTTCTACAGCTACTACTTACTCCTGCTACTTTATTCTCCTATTCTAGATTGTTTCCTTCTCCATCTTTGCTGCCAACTATTTTCATCATCTGGTAGTTACCCCTATTTGTGAAGACTGAAGTTAAAAAAGGAGTAAATACTTGAGCCTTCTCTGCATCATCCATGACTAGGGAGCTTCATAAATCACGTTTTTAATGTTTTTCATTTCGCTGCTGGCCCCCACCCTCTAAATTTTTCCATATTTAAAACTGCAGTTTTGCTTTCCTGGTGATCAGCAGAAAGCAGTCCACCTAGAGGGAGGAAGCGATAAAATGAAAAACATTAAAGGAGCCATTGCAGGGAGCACTTGCAGCATGATTTACAGAGATCCCCATCTCTGACCAGATTGCTTTCCACATTTCTTAAGGGAGCTATGGTTTCTTTGCTCTTCCTCTTAGTTTTTATATACTTGTAGAATCCTTTTCTCTTTGCATTCTATATCCCTTGTCAGCTTCATCTCAAATCAATGCTTTGGCCTTCCTAAGTTTCTTCCTGCAAGCTTGTGTGATTTTGTACTTTTCCCTTATACTGTGACCAAATTTCCACTTTTTGTATGATTTGTTTTTGAGTTTAAACCTTACTAAGGTGTTTCTGTCTAGCTAGGCTGGTCTTCTGTTTCATTTCCTATTGTTCTTTCAATATTATAGCTTTTCTTTGGTAGCCAATTCAAAAATGGGCCCGATCAGGATTAGGGAGCCATACAGTTAATTTGTCTTTAACACTGTGAGAGAGATTCCATCTGCCTAGTTGTTTTGAAAATAAAGCTGAGATTTGTGTTTACAGTCCCGATGAAAGGAAGAGGAACTCTGCCTGGATGTGATCAAAGAAGCAATCAAGGATACCCATGACTGGTTATAAAAATGATTGTACTGCCTTAGAATCATAGAAAAGTAGGGCTAAAAGGGACCTTCCAAATTCATGCAGTCCAACCATCTGCCAGAGCTAGGATCAGTTCTTATCTAAAACATCCCATTCAAGTCCATTTTCTAACTTATTAATACCTATTAGTAAAACTATTCAGTAAACACTGATGCAACTACAAAGTATAACACCCTAGCCTGCCACAGGTAAAGTGTGAGGAGGAAGAAAGGGGTACTAATGGCCAGTGTCCTGCTGTTGTAAGATTGTAAATATATGCTCAAAAGATCCCAAGAGGGCCATGCCCCCACCCTGCCACCATTACAGAGAAAGGCAAACTACCTACACAGTCTGTACCAAGCTGATTATGGGGTAAAATTCCTTCCTGACCCCAAATATGGTGATCATTCTGACCCCTGGGCAGAGAGATAAGATCTCCTAGTGAGGAATTGGGTTTGAATCCCAGCAGGAGCATTAAAACATCCCAGCCAAAATCCCCAACCTTGGCTGCAGTCAACACCCAATGTTTCTGAGGAAGAACTCTCCCCCCACCCCCAACACACACAGCAACACGGGGTGGGGGCCGAATCCTTCCTGGCCCCATGTAGCAACCAGTAAGGCCCAGAGGCTTTCAATCTCCACTTGAAACTTCCTACCATTCTGACACAATACCCTTATAATTACCCTTCGTTTGTGGCTATCAAGGCAGTTGTCTACCCACCTTATAATAGTTTTGTGTAGCCCATATTTTTCCTTTTTTATAAGAGTTTTTTTGTGGGAAGCCTTGTAAGAAACCTTGCTGAAGTGCAGATACATTATATCTAATTAATTAAAATCTACCAAAAGCTCTCTGTTTCTTTTGTAAAATCATCCCATAGCCTGTCCACTTCAATATCCAAATAATCCTTATTAGGTGGCTGGTTGTAGATTAAGTTCTTTTTGTGTGAAGACTGAGGTAAAGTAGCTACTGAATAGTTCTGCCCTCTTTGCTTCTTCTATTAAGAGTTTGCTCTGGCTATTTAATAGAGTGACAATAAATGGAAAGGTGAAGCTTCAGCTGATTTGTGTATCATAATTGTGTATTTGATTGTCCTTTCTCTAAAAACAAGAATAATTTCACAAAAATAGTCTAAATGCAGTCCAAATATCTAAAACTGTATTTACTTTGACCCAAAAAAGTATTAGGGTGTATCTTGTTATTAATATTATTCCACTAAAACATTTTTAGCTTTATATCATATTTTGTTAATTCTGAAGGATTTGCATGATCTAAGTAGCAAGTTCCCTCTGGGAACACAATGATTCTGTATTCAGGTCTAAACACACCAGGAAGAAGGGAAAGCCTTGCACTTTTAAAGCCACTTCAGTAATCATAGCTAGATAGAAGCATAAGAATGAATATACATATATATATTTGGTATGCCTCTCTATCTATCTAGATTTTTTTTCTATATTTATATTTTTCAATACATTTTTACATAATTGTCTAAGCATGTAACTGGCTCACTGATTACTATATATTAAAATGAAGTAAAATGTACCAATGCTGTATTAAAGAGCATCACTGATATTTCTGCCATCCCTAAATTGAATTATGTTAAACGGGGTTTGGCACAATGTGCATCTTTGTCAAGCTCTGAGAATAATTGTCTGAAACAATGAATCTGGAAAGAAATACCAAGTCTACAATACTTTTTAATAAGTCCCTCCATGATGGTGTGCCCAGCAGTATAAATTATACTAGTGTCAATGCAGAGAAAGCTTCAGAAGGGCCCACGTGATTCTCAGGAAGAAAAACTGTCCCGGAACTAATAAGTATGTAGCTCATTGATATACATAGTAGTAACTTAAAGAGAGGTTAGCAAGAAGTTCACCAATCAGGTAAACTTTGAGAACCAGTGAACAGACAACCAATGAGCAGCAATCCCAGATGCAATGGGCCAGTTGTAATATTCAGTTAGGCATTATATTTACTGAAGAGAAGAAAGAGAGTGATAAATGGATTCACACACAAAAAACAGATAACTTGTGGAAAGAAACTGTCAGCTTGTGAATTGTTATGAAACTTAAAAGTACTTATTTTCAGTTCACTGAATGTTCAGGTTTTGGAATCAATCTATTAACAAAGCATATGTTGTCTGTGATAGACTCTTAATAACTTTTAAAAATATGTATTTTAGGGGACAAAGATACAAAGATATTCAAATAATGTTACATTTTAAATATTGAAATGCTACCACCAGTATATAAGAGAACCTGATGAGAAGTGTATTTTCTGTATTTGTAAGACTGTAAAGCAAAGAAATGTCTGTGGTTATATTGTAAATAAGGGATTGTAAAGTATTACTGTGAGCTTCCAACTGAAAGACATTAACTAGGGATCTAAAGAAAATCTAGCTGATAATAGGCAGCAGCTGCAGTGATTGGTTCATTAGTTAAACACTAACAGCTTTGCCTCTTTTTCAGGTTCTAACTGTGAATTTAGGCCTTGTGAGGCCAGCAATCCCTGTGAGAATGGAGCTGTGTGCATAGAAGAGATGGATTTGGACACCTTTCCCCTTGGATTCCAGTGCCAGTGTACAAAGGGCTTTGCAGGTCCACGCTGCGAGATCAATGTCAATGAGTGCAGCTCTAACCCCTGCCTCCATGGATATTGCTATGACAGTGAGTTCAGCCTGGTTACTCACTTTAATGTGGAGTAGGCCTACTGCTGAATCTAATGTAGCAACTGAGTTGCTCTGGGGAGAGAAGTAGATAATTTACTGAAATTTTGCCTGTCTGGAGCTCTACAGAGCCAGGGCCAAGAGAATTCTCTTTTTGCCAGAATGTCTCAGCTCCTGGCAGAAAGGTTTATGTTTCCATGGGTCACAGTTGCAACTAATGAGAAATTTTAATGAGATTTGAGTTGTCTCTTCTGATGCCTAAATCAGCCAAATACATCTTGGGTAGTGCATTTGACAAAGGGCTAATTTTCAGGTGCTGAAAACAACTCCACAGAGCAATGAAACTGTGTATGTAATAATTTCAACAAATCTGAGTGATAGTAAATATCACAGTGATGCAAAATGGAGTACCTGTTCACCAATAATAGTCTCTAGAATGATAAATACAATCAGAAGAGTATCTGTGAGACTTAGCAGCCTTGGCAGGGGATGCAGGTTTTATGTCTCCCACCCCCTGACCACCATGGGACCCTACTGCTGCTACTGGCAAGGTACAGGCTGCTGCTTCAGTGCTCACTCCCTTCATTCAGCTGCAGCTGCTACAGCATAGGCTTCCTCAGGGGCCACCATTCTGATTCCCCTCCAAAATCAGCACCTAGGGCTCCTGCCCTGCTAGCCCACCTCTAGTTATATTACTGATACAGCCATTTTGGGTGTCTCTCTCTTACCTGTAGCTGTAATTCATATTTCTTCATTAGAGTTTAGTGGCAAATTGCTGAATTACTATGCTATGTTTTAGTATTATCAAGTTAAATAAAGTAGCTCTCAGAACTTCTAAGCTACTTTCATGGGTCTCTAGTACAATTACTTACTACCCATCTGCTTTCAATGACTGGTAAACAAAAGCAAAGGTGGACATTTCCCTTTTGACAGCATTTTCCATAGTATCCTATAGTTGAAATTTTCAAAGCATTCTTAGGGCTTTTAGACATGCAATTCTCACTAATTTCAGTGAAAATTGTACATATAAATCTTCTAGGCTAGGCAGCTTTGAAAATCTCTAACTAAAAGTGCAATAGTGAGTGAAAGAGTTTCTGTATCCTCTCTGTATTCCAAGAGCATGAGAACAGACCTTTCAGTTAATGAAGAAAGAGGTAGTTAGGCATGTTAGTCTGAAGCAAGGCAGAGTGGCACTTGTTACATGTATTGGCAGGAAAAAGTGTGTGTGTTGGCAAAAAAGAGTCCATTACCCACATATGAGTAGTTCTGATTCCTAAAATGAAGGATAATATTGTGTTCACATGGCTAGTTAAACTGATAAGGCTCAGTCTTGCTCCAGCTGAAGTCAGTGGATGGGTTTTGAGCGACTCCAATACAAACGCAGTTGGTCTTTTAGAATGAAATTGACTTGGGACCTAGAAACAGGACACTTATATCAGTGTAGCTTGCCTTTATACCTGTACATAAAAAATGGTGTGTATTGGTGCGCAAAACTAATGTAAGTTGTATTAGAATTAATGTGTTGCAGAGGGCCTAGAAAAGGAGTCTCTACACCATATATGATTAGACAGTGATATTTAGAGTGCTGCTGTGCAATAGGGCTTTCCCATTCTTTGCATCTCTCAAAGTGGTTGTGGTGCTAAATGGACTATCAGACAAGATACTGTTGTGGAAAGACCTGTGAGATTATATTGTAGACACTCATTAGCCCCTGGGCTTATGTGAGAGGGGGCTGTGCTCTGAATATATACAGACATTCAGTGTACTGTAATTTTGTGGCAGTGAAAAGATGTAATTTACTCACACACACACACACCCTACTCTTTTTGCCTGAAGACTGATTAAATCCCTAGAAAGTACTCTGTAGATAAATAGAAGTGGTTATATTAATAACAAATGCCTTGATATGTCTGCATAGCACGATGCTATACCATGCAGAGATTTACAGGATTAATCCAAGTCTTTTCATTCATTGTTCAGATCTCTCTTAATGACTGTTTTCTGGTAGTAGTAAAGTTGGTGTTACCAGAAGCAATATAGTTGCATTAGCATGGCACTTTACCTGGGATGAAAGCCCACCTGAGAAACAGGGGGCACATCTACACAAGTTGCTAAATGCACAGTAGACTAATTCTACTGTGCATTAGCACGTCATGGCAAAAGCTGTGCTTTTGCACTAATGCTCAGTAGAATTAGTCTACCATGCATTAGTGTCACTTAAAAGGCATGCACCAGTGCTACTGCACAGTAGTGCCAGTTACTGTGCATTTACTTAGCAACTGTTATTATTAGTACTAAACTTAATGTTTTGTAACTATGTTGCATAATGCAGTTGTAGACGTGTGCAGGTGGCATTGGACGAGGTGGGTACCATGTTGCCATAGCTAGGCTGCTACCTTGTCAGTGTGTGTGTGTGTGCGTGTGTGTGTGTGTGTGTGTAGATAGATAGATAGATAGCATGTGTGTATAAAATTGTGTACAGTTAGTCCCTGTTGTTGCAAATGCTTAACACACACATCTCCAGTTACCCACAATGCCACTGGATTCTGACTTTCACTAAGATAGGGTGACACCTTGGAGACTAATCAGTTAGAGAGGTATGAGCTTTTATAACATGCTTACAGACATTTGCCACACCCATTCTATGATTACATGGCTTACCTTAAGCCGTGTGACCGTGGATCAGGAGCAACATGTGCAGGTATTTGCTGGTGCTAGGAGCCTTGCTGCGAACCTCGTATAAGTAATTTGGGATGGGCA